GATCTTCTTCATCGGTATTTATTATAGCATATAGCTGATATTGGAGTAGCAACTTATATATGTAGAATGTTTGTTCTATCTCTGATATTAGGCATCATTACCTAAATTTACGACTATTGATTACATAAAAGCGATACTTTTTCTTTGTTTTCAAAAGACCCTGCAAATATGATGTTGATGTTTGGTATAACATCATGAAATGAGTAATAACATATCTAAAAAGAGTGGTCAAGAGGAGGGTTGGGTGCCCCAAACAAGTTTAATCCCACAACATTGTGCGTGTACCTGTCCACAGTCAGAAGCCTGTAATTCAGTGGTAGTCGTTTGTTGTTGTATGTCGTATTTGTTTTTCGATTATTGTTTTGTACATAAATCAGACCGTTAGTTTTCTCGTTTGAATTGTTTTACATTTGTCATGACGCTGCCTTTGATATCTTGATATGCGCTAAAAAGTTTCCCTTTTATTGAAGTCGTACGGTGACCTTTAAATGGTAACGTCTACGTCATTTGGTCTATGTTGGTCAGTTGCCTCATTTGTATATTGTGTCAGATGACTAACTTTAAATTATTTATCGACAATATCATGAGAACCGGCTTTCAGCATCAATAGCATATACTGAACTAGGGTTTTGCAGTGTAAAAACGTAGTTAAGCGTCAATATGGTTTACTTTTTTGACTTGATTTACAGCGTAGTCTGAGTAAATGGGATTCAAATATGGGATTTATTTATTAACAGAATTGTTCTGTTTAATTTTGAGCGGCTTTGCTTTGCAAATCATAGTATGTTCCATTTGGTTTGGGTGGTTTTTTTTTGTCATTTCAACCCTGCAGAAATTCTACTGCATTTTTGTTCCATTTTAAAAGAATTTAGATTTTTCTCTTATATATTTAGATAATTTCAACGCTTTCTTGTTGACAACTGTAAGAGGTGTTGATTACAAAAAAAAGTACATATATATTCGCAAAGGTTTCTGAAAATTGGCCGTTTCACCTTCGAGAATATCTGTAAGATGCACATATTCAGTTCATAGAAATTCGAAACCAAGTTGTACTCTGCGTTAAAAACTATAATTGTATTACACAGAATGGACCCCTCCAACATGAATGTTGATGAAAGTTACATTACTTTAACCATCTGGAAAAGAACTTTTCAAATGTATACACAAAAATTGTAAAATTGTCGATGAGTATGCACACTTCTTTAATGATTTTCTTTTCTTTTAGAAAATTTATTTGAAGGAAGATCTCTGACAGTCTCACTTATATGATTTCAAGTGATCAAAAATCTATATTCTATTCGGCTTAGAACTCGGATTATAGCTTACATACTCATAAACTGTTAAACACTGTGCACTTAACCCTAGATGTATTTTGACTTGTATCGTTTAGTGGCTGTTTTATTGACGTATGCAACATATCTTCTTTTATTAATGTCTCTAGAAGGTTCGAAAAAGGTAGATACAATACAAAGGGAGAAAAGTAAGTCAAAGAAAAATAAACAACACCATGTCCAAAAGAAAACGACAAAAAGACAAAAAACAGTCCAGAAAAGGCCACAAAGGCCACAAACAAAACATAATATAGCCTAGTTGGTCGAGTAGTCTAGGGCATTGGACACAGTGCAGGCGATATCAGCACGATGTCGCATAAGCAGGGGTTGAATCTCGGTGAAGAACAAAATATCGCTAACGCAAATTTGCATGTTTAACATTGTTTAGAGAATTATAGACGAAGTATATATGAAATGTAATGTTAGCCCTGTAAAGCCTATGGTTATCCGATGGAGAAAGTCTATCAGACAGTTGTCACATATATTTTAGATATATATAGGAATAAAATAAGGTTGAAAATGCATTAAATATTTATATTAAATATGAATAATTTCATTTTTGTCTATTAAGACATCAAATTGTTCTAAAATGTTCTCCATAATTTGCTACCGGATTCACTGTTTCACAGATATTCATGGATTAGGTTGCTTCCGGCGTCGTCAGGGGTAACGTCTATTAGCGACATCATTAGTAAATCCTGAACGTCATTATATAGTACAACGTAGTTACTTAGAACAAAAGTGAAAGTAAAAATATAGAAACGCCTTCCGGACTCTCATTTTATCGATTTAAATTTGGACGGTATTTCTTAATGCAATAATTTTCTTTATTAATTCTCATTGGTACGTTGCTTTATTTGAACACAGAATATATATATATATATTATATATATATAAACAATTTTAAATTGAAAACAACGTTCAAACCTATGATTGCGTTGGATAAAAACCGCAATTTTTAAACGTGTGCATGCAAAACAAATTTCTTGATAGAGGGGTCTAAATACAGCACTAACAACATTTTCCAAAAGACCAAAAAAGTGAAAAAGTATATTTTAACAAAACGCATTTGACTAACAGGTCGAACAACAGATGTTCTTAAACCCTGCTGACTGCCATTGGCGATTGCCAAATAAACGGATCACAAGATGTTACATAACGGATCTTTTAAAATTATTAATTTAATACCAAACAGAAAACAATAAACTTGCGGAAAAGATGGTATACCGCAAACAAAAGGTGCAAAAATTAGTACACCATATCCGGATTTCAACAATTAATGTCTCTTCAGTGATGTTAGGGATCGAAATGGTATTTGGAAGGCCATATAATTTACCTCAATTTAGGATAGACTCTTGAATTTTGAAGAGTCGAAATATTAGAAATAAGATGAACGGATCATATAAACCCGAAGGAAAATATAATACAAGCCCAAACGAAAAAATATAAACAATTCTAAATTGCAAACAACGTTCAAACCTATGATTGCGTTGGATAAAAACCGCAATTTTTATACGTGTGCATGCAAAACAAATTTCTTGATAGAGGGGTCTAAATACAGCACAAACAACATTTCCCAAAAGACCAAAAAAGTGAAAAAGTATATTTAAACAAAACGCATTTGACTAACAGGTCGAACAACAGATGTATATATATATAAACAAATCTTAATTGAAAACAACGTTCAAACCTATGATAGCGTTGGATAAAAACCGCAATTTTTATACGTGCGCATGCAAAACAAATTTCTTGGTAGAGGGGTCTAAATACAGCACAAACAACATTTTCCAAAAGAGCAAAAAAATGAAAAAGTATATTTTAACAAAACGCATTTGACTAGCAGGTCGAACATCTGATGTTCTTAAACCCTGCTGACTGCCATTGGCGATTGCCAAATAAACGGATCACCAGATGTAATATCCGGATTTCGACAATAAATGTCTCTTCAGTGATGTTAGGAATTGAAACGGTATTTGGAAGGCCATATAATTAACCTCAATTTAGGATAGACTGTTGAATTTTGAAAGAGTCGAAATAGGATACAGGATTATATAAACCCGAAGGCAAATATAATACAAGCCCGAACGAAAAAATATAAACAAGTCTATATTGAAAACAACGTTCAAACCTATGATTGCGTTGGATAAAAACCGCAATTTTTGTACGTGTGCATGCAAAACATGTTTCTTGGTAGAGTGGTTTAAATACAGCACAAACAACATTTTCCAAAAGAAATAAAAAATGGAAAAGTATATTTTAACAAAACGCATTTGACTAGCAGGTCGAACAACCGATGTTCTTAAACCCTGCTGACTGCCATTGGCGATTACCAAATAAACGGATCAACAGATGTAACATCCGGATTTCGACAATTAATGTCTCTTCAGTGATTTTAGGAATCGAAACGGTATTTGGAAGGCCATATAATTAACCTCAATTTAGGAAAGACTCTTGAATTTTGAAAGAGTCGAAATAGGATGAACGGATCATATAAACCCGAAGGAAAATATAATACAAGCCCGAACGAAAAAATATAAACAAGTCTATATTGAAAACAACGTTCAAACCTATGATTGCGTTGGATAAAAACCGCAATTTTTGTACGTGTGCATGCAAAACATGTTTCTTGGTAGAGTGGTTTAAATACAGCACAAACAACATTTTCCAAAAGAAATAAAAAATGGAAAAGTATATTTTAACAAAACGCATTTGACTAGCAGGTCGAACAACCGATGTTCTTAAACCCTGCTGACTGCCATTGGCGATTGCCAAATAAACGGATCAACAGATGTAACATCCGGATTTCGACAATTAATGTCTCTTCAGTGATTTTAGGAATCGAAACGGTATTTGGAAGGCCATATAATTAACCTCAATTTAGGAAAGACTCTTGAATTTTGAAAGAGTCGAAATAGGATGAACGGATCATATAAACCCGAAGGAAAATATAATACAAGCCCAAACGAAAAAATATAAACAAGTCTAAATTGAAAACAACGTTTAAACCTATGATTGCGTTGGATAAAAACCGCAATTTTAATACGTGTGCATGCAAAACATGTTTCTTGGTAGAGGGGTCTAAATACAGCACAAACAACATTTTCCAAAACAGCAAAAAAATGAAAAAGTATATTTTAACAAAACACATTTGACTAGCAGGTTGAACAACTGATGTTCTTAAACCCTGCTGACTGCCATTGGCGATTGCCAAATAAACGGATCACCAGATGTAATATCCGGATTTCGACAATTAATGTCTCTTCAGTGATGTTAGGAATCGAAACGGTATTTGGAAGGCCATTTAATTAACCTCAATTTAGGATAGACTCTTGAATTTTGAAAGAGTCGAAATAGGATGAACGGATCATATAAACCCGAAGGCAAATATAGATATAAAACGTCTGGATAATAGTCAAAACTCTTTCTTACGAGGGCGTTTGATCGTTATGAAAAACGGTAAAGTACACAATGAATAAAATATATTTGACAGACAATAGAATTGAGAATGGAAACGGGGAATGGGTCAAAGAGACAACAACCCGACCAAAGAGCAGAAAACAACCCAAGGCCACCACTGGTCTTCAACGCAGCGAGAAAATCCTGCACCACTAGGCGGGCTTCATCTAGCCCCTAACAATAATGTATACTAGTTCAGCTAAATAGACGAAACACTAAACACATATTTAATTTACTTGTAAAAACTTAAGAAACAGGAAGAAAATAGAATATCACCTAGCATTTTTTTTTTAAATTTTCGACATTGTACAGTGATTGTTTTTTTACTGTAATGTTTAACCTTGATGCCGTTACACTTTTAGAAATCGACATGGCTTAAACGTCTACCACGAAGAAGACCCGAAAATAAACTATGACATAAATAAGTAATTTTAACATTATCGTCAACATAGAAACATGATGACAGGAAACTCAATACTAAGCAGGTGTGGTTGTGTATGTTTACCATACGTAAGTAGACGTGAACAGGTATCTTTGACATCCCAATACTGACCCAAGAATCACCAGTGGATATTTTCGTTGTCTGACCCAAGAATCATCAGTGGATATTTTCGTTGTCTGACCCAAGAATCACCATTGGATATTTTCGTTATCTGGCCCAAGAATCACCATTGGATATTTTCGATGTCTGGCCCAAGAATCACCGTTGGATATTTTCGTTGTCTGACCCAAGAATCACCATTGGATATTTTCGTTGTCTGACCCAAGAATCACCATTGGATATTTTTACCCCATACACCTTCTCAATCTATCTCATCATACTCCATGTACAAAACAGAAGCAAAAAGGGCGGGGGATGGGTTTAGGGAAATCGCACTGTGAAAAGTTTGTTTGGGTCGTGAATCTAAGGCAAAGTAGTCATCTGGTCCATTCGAAAAGGGTCAAAATGAAAACTTTTGAGGCTGTCAATTTGAATTTTTTTTTATATAATTTACATCTATTGTTTTATCAATGTCGTTGCACAAATCTTGGGTATTTATTTTATTTCTATTTGTGCTCAAATGTCATTAGATGATCCGTTATGTCTTACATTTGATGGTTGGTTGTTTTCTTAGACTCTTCAGGGTATGATTTCGTTGAATATATGAATATAGTCGGTGTTATTTGATATTTTTTCCATTAAAAGTATTTTATTTGTTGTTGGTAAATACCTTAAAAAGGAAATGAAATTCACAATCTTTGAATTTATGATGGCGTTATCTCGTTGATTTTTCATCTAATAGTTTATATAATGCTGGTTGGAAATTAACTTACTGATTGTCTGCATATAAAGTTCTAGGTAAATAAGTGTAATTAATGCAAATGATAAGTTTACCTGCGCTTACATGTCTTACACGAATGCCATCACTTAAAATTCACACCATTCAGACAATACAAAAACAAAAAATCGGGAAAATACAAATGCATAGTTGACATCATAGTATTCTAAATAGTAAAAATATTCAATCATGTCGACTGCAAATTAAAGAATAAGCGACTTATTCTTCGTTGTTTTGATTAATTACTATTAATTGTGACCTTGTTTGGTTCAAATTATACCAGGCATTTTTCCTAACACATCATTCAGGTTCATCTAAATCGGGTTCCCGTCTTTGAGAACTTTAAAAATTCTTTAGGGAAATGTTGGAAAATCATTCAATCTCCATCTCTCAGATGATCATGGATTCTACTGAGGATCCAATCAAAGTAAGTCTGCATGGATCATTGGGCACCATTCCGTCCGTCGTAATTAGTGCAAAAGAAATCCATAATTCCGCTGTCAAGTGTTCAAAAGTGGTAAGGCAGAATCGACATTTGGAAGCAGATTGGAATTTCCTCTTGATGACACCACACCAGAATCCCCGCGTGCATATGATGAAGAATTCCCAGCTGGTGACTGTAGACTTGAACCTCTATTTAACAGCAGACAAAAATCTCCGTTTGAAGATGGAAGGTTACGGTATCTTTGAGTCAAGCTATCAGTATTTTGATTTGAATTGTTCTAAAAAATATATATATATATATATATATATAAATATGGATACAGCATAAAAACATAAAATATTGTTTTTACTGATTGATCTACTTGTTTTTCTTGGTTTTTTTTTTCTTAATTTCGTGGTAACCTAGTTCAAAAACTTTTCGTTTTAAACAAAATCAAAATTATACTGCTATATTGCAACTTTATCCACCTCTAAAGTCTGCATATAACACTGTATTTCGTTTGTGGAGGATTGTGCGCAGTTTGAAAAAAAAAATTATATGCTTTCGTATGTATTTGTTGATGAAGGTCCTTAGTTTAAGAAAAAGGTAAACAAATATTGTTGCACATATATTTATTGAACATAGGAGATATAACAATCTTTTAACCAGCAAAGTAGTCAGCACCTCTGCCTTGACATGAATCATTGATATGGTAATAATTATAAATTTTACGAAATACCAAGGATTTTCTTCCTCAGGAATAGATTACCTAAGTTATATTTGGCAAAACCTCTCGGAATTTCGGGTCCTCAATGCCCTTCAACTTCATACTTTATTTGGCTTTTTAAAAATATTTTGATTCAAGTGTCACTAATGAATCTTTTGTAGACGAAACGTGCGTCTGGCGTACAGAATTTTAAGCCTGGTATATATGATAAGTTTATTTTATGCACCCACTAAATTTTCTGTATACAATAACTATGAGTTGGTAGATAATAAAGTTGCTTCGTTATTTTCAAAGAAAAACTTTAAACAAAAGTAATAGAGTTATTGGTAGCATTTATGTATGTTCATTAATAAATGTGTACTCAATTAAAAACAAATAGTTCATATATAATGTTATGATGATTGGTATATCTTGTTTTTCTGTTGACAACTTTATATATTTATGTGCAGATAAAATAAAATATTAAATACTTACGTATATATGTGGTGTTTCTATTATGAACGGTCGTTTTATTGTCTTTATTGTTCTTCTAACTTTCCTGCACAAGATAAAACAAGTTTAAAATTTAATATTTGTCTGCAAATAAATAGAATAAATGTAGCTTAAAGGGCTTTATATTTTTTTTTCTTGTAGAGTTATTTCTATTCTCTTTTAAATCTCAATCAAACCCCATTTTACACTGAAAATTCATAACCGAACACCCGATTTATGTAGCGGTTTGTATTGCTCAATCTTAGTTTTCTGTGTAGTTTATCTAAATTATTGAGTGCTATTAAAGAAATTTATACAATGAGTTTAATTTAAATTTCAGATGTGAAATCATTCTATCCCTCTTGTAAATTTTTTTTTCTGTATGTGTTACTGCTCTAGATCGTTTTAAACTCTCAAATGTCAATTTTTGGTTTTGATTCTGAATGAGGCGACAGAATGTTCGAAATTGGAATATTGTGCATTAAATAAATTTTGTATCTTGTAATTTTGTATTACTACCACAAAGTCGATGCTATTGCAGATGACCTACAAGTCCCGGGGTTATCATCAGCCGATTTCCAGTGGTTTCAATACTGAAATGATATTTCCTTAATATTGACATTAAAATAATATGTCATTCAAAAAATTCGTTAGGGGTTCCGCGGAACCCTTTGTCTCGCCTGCGATTGCTACTGTCGGTGTAAAAGTGTAATGTTGACCTAAAAAGTGAGTCCATTTATCAGTAAAATACAGAATTTCCAGATGCTATTTTTTGGTCTTAAAGATAAGCGTCTGTCCAAGTTTCAGGACAATCCATGAAGGTTTATAAATTTAGCAAGTAAAAAAAATCAAACCCAGACTGTCTGTAAATGTTAACTGTAAAAAAGTAAGTCAATCTATCAGAAAAATACTGAAAATGAAAAAAATATCTTTTCAAAAGTTTGCTTCAGACATTATCTCTTAATCATAAAAAAGCTTCTACCAAAGTTTCATAAAATCCCATGAAGGTTTAACAAAGTAATTGATGTGTAACAAACTTTAACCCCAGACTGTATCTTCCTGTTATCTTTTTAAAATAGGCCATATATCAGTAAAATACGGAAAATGCGGCGGGGTTAAACATGTTTAGTGAGATCTCAACCCTCCCCCTATACCTCTAGCCAATGTAGATTAAACAAACACACAGCAATATGCACAGTATATGGAGATTAAAATAAATATTTCAAACTTTTGCTCTGGATACTGTATTTTGGTCATTAACAAGCCTCTGTACAAATTTTATAAAATCAAATGAAGGTTTGACAAAGTTATTGATGACTAAAAAACTTTAAACTCAGATTAAATCTGAATGTTAACTGTAAAAAAACGAAGTCCATTTATCAGTAAAATACGGAAAAATGAAAATAAATATTTTCAAAAATTTGCTCCGGATACTGTATTTTGGTCATAAACAAGCTTCTATCCAAATTTCAAAAAATCCCATGAAGGTTTGACAAAGTTATCGACGACGGAAAAACTTTAACCTCAGACTAAATCTGAATGTTAAATGTAAAAAAAACTAAGTCCCTTTATCAGTAAAATATGGTAAAAAATGAAAATAAATATTTTCAAAATTTTTCTCTGGATACTGTATTTTGGTCATAAACAAGGTTCTGTCCAAATTTTATCAAATTCAATGAAGGTTTGACAAAGTTATTGATGACTGAAAATCTTTAACCATAGACTGAACCTAAATGTTTACGCCGCCGACAATAAACAATAGATGGTTTTGCTGTTATCATTTGTGTAAAATTGAGTTCATTGCCTTTCAAATTTAGAGATTCTTCCAGATTTGTAATATTTGGTATCTAGCAGCTCTCACGATAAATTTTCAAAATGCATATAAGACTTGTTATTCATTTTGGTATCTAGTGTATTCTATGTTGTATTAAGAACAATTAAGCTTTAATCAAGCAAGCTTATACATAAAAAGAAGCAAAATATGGTTTTACCTTAAATGTGTATGCTGTAAGTTTCAAATGAATAATCTCCTATCTATATATAAAGGCGGTGTACTTTATTGGATTATTTCTTACTGAATCCTCATTAAAACATAAACAAAATTCATAGACTGTGCATAACTTTTATTGACGAATATCTCACTAATATTTTTAAGGAGAAAATGAATCTACAATGGGTTGAGATGAAACCTTTAAATTATTCAAATTTATAGCAATTCAAAAGTCGCATTATTACGCCATTCCTCTCTTTTTTGATTTTCGATCAAAAATTTTTAACATTTTGAGATCAGCACAAAAATCAAAATTCAGTGGTTTGAGGTGTAAGACAACTGGATTTTAGCCAAAAATGCAAAATAAATTACCCATATTTTTTTGTAATGTTTCATCACTTGGAAATTATGATATGGTAAATCATCAAAATTTAAATGGAACCTTTTTGTATTGAAGATTGTGCCAGCATTTTAAAGATATGTTAAAGAAAACATTAGTAAAAATCCGAGATTTTCGTAACTGTCAAATTTCAAGCATGCAAGTTCTACAACTCGAGAAAAATAAATCAAAAAAATTTCCCAATTCAAAAAGTAGGTAAATTTATTACTTGTGATATATCGTTCACAAATCCCATGAAATTCGATGAAAACGTTACGGAGTTATACAACATATGAGAAACTTCTCTTACATTTTTAATACTTAAGGTCCTTTAACGCCTTGTCAGAATTCTCAACGCAAAAGTACAGTTGTTTTAAAACTTCATGAAAACCATTTGTCAATATGTTTAATTTATCAATAATATGATACAAATGACATTCAAATTCAAAGTTAATCTTATTGATAAAAAACAGGTGAATACAATCTGGACACATTAATGCATAAAGATAACTTTTAATGTCATTATATGACGCCATAAACATGTTGAAATTGACTTGTTTGACCAAATATTGAAATTTTACGCATAGTATTTAGACAAAGTAGATATGAGCAGAGGCTTAACCCAAAAAGATATTTTACACACATTGACATAGTTTTAAAATACATTTTGTAGTAGGATATCCTTTTGTGTAATGCCTTTGCTCATATTTGAAAATCAATCCCAAAGTATCAAAATGAGTTCTACTTCGACTGTTTTTAAAGGTGTATATTCACGAAGGGTCAATATTGGCCCTAAATTCTGTGAAATTACTTCAGTTCTAATAATAAACATTTATAAAATAAATGACAAATAAAAAAATCAACAAGCTCTGGCGCATTAGCACTCTTATAATGTCATTATGGCGTCATAATTGCACATTGTTGTGAAGAAAATCATAAATTTATTCCTAAACTGTCAAAGTTCTTGCTTCAAACGACATTTGCCACCTGTATGAACCACCATATGTTTTGTTATGGTGTGTATCTGATCAATCCAAACTTTTTACAAAAATTTTATTTCGGTCGAAGGGTGTGACCAATGTTATTTCAGATGGAAATATACCTTTCAAACGTATAATAACAGACAATCTGGCTAACAACTATCATACGTTTGAAGCTATCACAATTGTTAAAACGAACAACAGCATGAAAATGGTATAGTTTTGATTAATTTGCATATTTAAGATCGTAAAACATAATTCGTACATATGACAATACAAAGTTGGATCTTTAGGGTCAAATAAAGGCAGTCGTGGTTCAACTCATTAAAAAGATAGAAGCTGTACTGTAAATTTGATACAAGATTTGAGCTTTGATTTAAATTCGAGACAAAATTCAAAACCATGAACACTGATATCTGTCAGAATAATGTTTCATTAACATCTGAAGGATGTTATTTTATAGATTACTTTACTTCTTTTTTTACTTAAGACCCAAAAATGGTCTTATCATACCTTCTCCTTTCTATGATAATTTATAAATGATATATGGTTATTGAGAATTCGGCATTAAGTTAATAAATTGCAAAGCACGTATTAACTGACGTGAAGAGGTTTATTACCGATTGTTTTAGGGGAAACGATACAGTTAAGATCAATAGTATATTGTTAACTTAAAATTTTGACTTAAAGTAGTTTTGATATGTTCTTATCAAATATGCTAGGAAAACTTACTAAGGTCATTTAAATTTCAAAACTTTTTAGATTTATTTCGAAAAGAAGAAACCTAAATTGTGGAGATATTGTTGAAAAATCATGCTATTTTATGAAACTGAAATGGAAATATAATACAACACGTGAAAGTGGGACCCTTTTTCTGCATGATCTTAACACCGTTAAAAATTCTCAAAATTAGTTCATGCAAATCGGTGTTATCATACGAAGTGTGGATGGAATGACAGATTTTATGCAAGTACCACTCCTAAAAAAACAAATCAGAAAATTAGAAAAAGAATAGAAAAAGGAAGTTACACTTTACATTTGTAATTTGGCTGACCAATTTCCTAATCATACAACTTGTGAAAAGTTACTCCATTTATAATAAGTCCAATTACCCCTATTAATGACAATACATGTAGAGACGATCAACCATTAATCTGCACAATGTGGCAAAATTTCACAAAAACTAGTTATAGCGAATTTGACTTGTTTATTGCATGAAAAGTGAACGTATGAATAATGGTGTAACTTGATATGTCCTGTGTACGACAGGCAGATGATACTACTAAGACTTCATGATACTTTACAGTTAGCTAGTATGTTGCAATTAATTAGTGCCGCCAGAAGCATACAGAAAGTTAATTTCAAATGTAAAAAAAAATTTCTTTTAATCTCTTACTCTCTCTCAAAACAAGTTAATTACACTACATGCGGTTACGAAAATTTAAAATGTCTAACTAACCGAACAATATGTTTGATGATATGAGCTTAACTGGTTCATGTTTTTTTACTCTAGAACAATAAAGAAACACACACAGTCGAAAAAGTTATACTATGTGCTTAAATGACACAAAAACAAAAAGCGAATTGCTTATGTCCATTTTTATTTCAAAAACTACATTACCTCACTATCATACAACATCCAAATATAGCTAAAAAACAGAATACAGCTCCAACAGATAATAAAGCTGATACTAACACCCCTGCAATGGACAAGTTTTGTGTATACTATATATCCTTTTTGATTTATACTGCACAGTTGAAGAAACATTAATGTTCATTCTAATAGCTGGTCTGTTTTAGAGGACAGCTGTAGTAAGTGAAGCAATTTGTAACCTGCAAGTCGCTTCTTGCAGTATCAGTGTACTAGGAGACCTTATTCGTACAGTACGGCATATATATTTATTCATACTTTCTGCATTCAATACTGTCATGGGACGAATTTAAGAACTTCTTAAAAAAAATAAACAAATCTCAATGGCCTCTACCAATAAGTATCGTTGAAAAACCAATAGTGTTGATAGTCCGAGCATCTTTTCTGAATTGGACTTTTCTATGTAATTCTTGATTTAGTACCGAAGTGAAATTGTTGTTTTATACATAGTTATACGTACAATTAATAATTTGTTGCTTTATAAAGGTTTTTTCCTGGAATGGTTTTCCTAACTGTATTTGGCAAAACCTTTTGGGACTGTGGGTCCTGGATGCGCTTCAACTTCGTACTTTATTTGGCCTTTTAACTTTTTTTCATTCAAGCGTCACTGATGAATCTTTCGTAAACGAAACGCGCGTCAGGCGTACAAAACTATAAGCATGGTATCTTTGATGAGTTTTCTTTTCCATTTTACATGTAAAAAATGACAGCGAATACGTTGTATGTCTTAACAAGTATAGTGTATATTTCAATGTTAACTGGGCATTTTCAAGATGAAAAATATATAGTATGCAAATTTACTTTTATTGCTTGAGATGTGTACGCATTCCTCTGCTGATGATCTTCTATCTGTATCCTTCCAATGTGGAAAGACTCTGACACAAACATTATCTTCTGTTGTTTCAATTAAAGTATAATCGGTTGTACCAGCCACTTTAACTACTGTATAATCTAGAAAACAGTTTTAAACACTACAAATTAATAAATGGTGGATTTCAAAGTATAAACGTTCTAAAATTGAAGATTCGAACATATAGTCATTCATAATTAAATCCGTGAATAAACATTATATTTCGTAGAATACTGACAGCCTGTATAGTCTTACAATACTACAGAAGATGTCCTTACTTTAGATATGGAATCAGCAGTAATATTTAAATACGAGGAGACGGACATATATATCCAAGTTTAGCGATATCATTCAAATTTCTGACAGTGCTACTTTTTATAATAAATAAAATATAATATAAATAACCAGGCTAAGATGATTACGTGTTTAGTTTAAGAAATTACAATAAAATTATGTAATTTCCTTTTGACGTTGCCTACGGTAAAAGGAAGCCATGGTGAATATACGAGACAATATGTAAACAAATCAAATTAAGCTCATTACATTGGTGTTAACCATGAGTGAAAAAAAAACCATCATAGGGACACTTTGATATTGACTTTAAATGTGAAGGATTTTAAACAAGGATTACAATCTATTTCATAGCAAACCACAAAAATAATGGTAATGATGTTAGAAGACAAAACACAACAAAGATGACCACTATTGGCAATGTAAAAGACAATATAATATATATAGCTTGGGGAAAAGGAAAATATATAAGGAACGCAAATGTAAAAAAAATGGAATGTCATTTTTTACGAAGAATACAAAGTCTAAAGATCAATGCTTACAAAAAAATGTATATAATTCCATATTGATTTTATGCAATGTAGCTAGTTTACATACATAGATATGACCATTGAATAATATACTACATTTCACCATAACAGATATTGTGTTGATTATCCCCAGTCCGGCCAACACTTTGCCAAATCAAAAGAAAAAAACATTGTTATTTCCTTCGATATTAACATGAAAGGACGACGAAAATATTCCGTCTTTATACTTAAGCGGTGATATATAGCCTCCTGGTCGTCAAGATGTATGACTTCGCAGCTTTTTAAAGTTCTAGATATCTTTCTTTCAAAAGTAAAAGATGTCCTTCAGAAATATTGTGATTAGATATATTTAACCAGCGGTGTCAATCAGATGTGCATTCTTAAATATTCTAAAGATCTATTAAAGAATCTTCAATCACAATGTTTAGAATTTGACAGGGTTATCGAGACATGATTTTTCTTCGCTTTCCGCTACTATTAGACATGGCTAGATACAAATTCCTTGTTTTAAGTAATGAAAAATCTTACTTTATGAAGTAACCCACTAATTTCAACAAAAAAATGCACCAAAGATGTTATCATCAATTAATTTTATTATACATTTCATGTTATTTTTTTCCTTCTTTTTTGTTTTTTTTTTAGAAAATACATTACATCAATCTTTTCATCATTACTAAATGTTTTTGTGTTTATATTTGTATTGGGAGAGGACGTTTCTAATTATGTTATAAGTTGTATCCAATCCCTTTTGCTATTCTTACAAATACAATATGTTTTAACTAAACTAAAACCAAAATGCTGGACAGTTTGACCGACAATACATTTGTTGAGTCTAGTTTATTTTTATTCTAACAGACAGTCAGTATTATATTGGGTACTAATTGTGCACCACTACTGGCCGAATTGTTTTTGTTTTCACTTGAAAACCTTTTCAAAAAAAGAGAAAAAAGTATCTATGATGTGTTGTCACTTAATAACCCATAATTCAGTGAGTGTTTGTATCTCATATATCCCAGTGAACTTTGGATACTATCTAAACTAAACAATTCGTTTTATATCGTGATCTTTCCCTCGATATTGACACAGATGGACGACTTCAAACTAGAATACATGACAAACGTGATGATTTCAGCATTTAAATTGTTAACTTCCCATTTCTCATTAGTTGCATATTTCGGCCCCATCATATCCCGTTTACATATCTCAATTGATATATTACGATCATGCATGTTCACACTATCCAGACTTAATTAACAGATGTGTGCTCCTTACACTAAAACTGCTACAACAGGGTTATGAGGAAAAACGTTTGAAATCAACACTACATAAGGTTTACGGTTTCAATCACAAATGTGTTGATTGATACGATGTGTTCGTGTTTTAACTACTAGCGACATGTTTTCGCGTCTTAGGTACTAGAATAGTTGTCGGATCTGTAATTTTACCGATTGTGTTCTATCACTGATTGTGAAATTTTTACTGATTTTGGATTCGCAAGGCGGCTGATTGATGCATATCAGGAGACGCTTACCCTGTCAGCACATCCGGTCTTGCTTCTTTCGGAGTTAATGCAATACCATCATTTATTGATTGTTGCCTTGATTTGTACATTATTTCAATCGATCCATGAGATTTAAACATCGGTACACTTTTTTTGCATTAATGTACGACTTGACTGTCCTTATTTATCGACTACTGCTACTTGCCTTCACATCCTTTTCGTTCACAAAAATGTATGTTGTAAAAACTTATCAGCTGTTTGACCTTTTCGAAATTGCACTTTGGTAATCGCCATTTCACAAGGACGCCATTTTCTTTTGGATAGAGTGTTACTTCTAACTGTAAAGGAAATTCTGAAATGAAGAAACAAATATACTATAATATAACCGGGTATTGAACTTTGTTTTCTTCGTGTGTAATGAGATTTGATAGTCTTTGAAGGAATTGCACATAGGAAAATATGAGGTATCCTGATATTTATTTCAATCGGAATATAAGAAGATATATACCATATCTGTATTGTTATAAAGACCAATGACCCTCTGAAGACTTGTCATACAACCATCAAATGTTGTATATATGTATTACAATTCATGTTTCACATTTGCTTTAAACGGATTTACTAAATATATCTTTTTTCATTGACAATATCATCTGCAGACAAACAAGAGTTAAAGAAATACTGTTAAGGGGTTATTAAATACGCGAATTTGACCAAATGGGGATTTTGAAAAATTCTTTAATGTTTTTGAAAATCTGAACAATAATTCATGCTGAGAAAAAAATCAATATATAATGTCACAACATCGTCACACTTAATACTGATTTAAACTTATAAAAAATTACATCCTCGTGCAAAATAAATGAAACATAATGTCCTCCATATCAAAAAGTAAATTAATAAGTAAAATAAAAAAAAATACCGAACTCCAAGGAAAATTCAAAACGGAAAGTCTCTCTTCAAATGGCAAAATCAAAAGCTCAAACACATCAAACGAATAGAAAACAACTGTCATATTCCTGACTTGATACAGGCATTTTCATATGTAGAAAATGGTAGATTAAACCTGTTTTTATAGCTTGCTAAACCTCTCACTTGTATGACAGTCTCATACAATTCCATTATATTGACAACAATGTGTGAACAAAACAAACAGACATAATAGGAAAAAATGTCAAAAAAAGGGGTACAGCAGTCAACATTGTGTTATAATCTTAATCACTATAAAAACAAATACGTATGTCAACATAGAAAAACAAAATGGCACATAGACAAAGAACATTAGCAAAAATGAAAGACAGGAATACAAAAAATGATCATAGCACAATAACACAATGGCGGGATGTATAAGTCCGGAGCCACGCCAAAAAGATATAAACAAAAATGGACTAAACAGTAAAGGTTAATAATTTACAGAGACAAATAAAAGAACACTATAACACGTAATTCAGATGATAAACAACGTCAGTACCTAGAATCTATACTTCATGACCATCATGTATAATAAATTTTGAAGTTGATACGGATTATTTATCAATAAGGTCTTGGTATCTTCCAATGAACTTTTTTAGAATATGACGAGACGTTCTTTGACATAACCCTGGTTCATCAACTTTCTGCTCAGACACTGGTGACGTTTTATAAAGTCTGAGTAGCAGCTACAAGCTCTTGAATACCGAATGAGTTGGGAAATGTATATTCCATATGCAGGCGAAGTTGGTATATTGCTACTAAGGTGAGGGAAATTGATCATTTCAAAATTAAAATCGTCTCATTTGTCACAGATTGTGGTACTGAGATGACCGCTTACGTCAAATTCGAGGTATAAGTCTAAAAATGTGGAGGAGGAAGCCGTGTCTGTTGTTTAAATTCTAGTTCTGGAGGATATATTAATGGAACCCAATCAGAAAAGTTTGGATTGTTAATGGAAAGAACATCATCAATATATCTGAATGTGAAATTAAATTATCTGACTTCTTTGATCTTCTTGTTTTTGACAAGTGTCTGAAGGAACTCCGACTCATATGAACATAAGAAGAGGTCGATAAGGAGAGGTGCACAGTTCGTTCCCATAGAAATCCGGACAATTTGTTGAAAAAGTCTACCTCCAAATTCAACAAATATGTTGTTAATAAGAAACTCCATTATAGTGATCACTTGTTCCTCTAAGTAGCATGTTTTACCTTTTTGTTCACTTTTAACAGAATATACCGTATGGTATCCCAATGTAATAAATTTATAGCGTATGCTATCATATTTATATTGAAAAGCATTGTGGATTATTTCTTTTAGACGATTTTTCAATTTCACATGGGGAATGGTGGTATACTGGGTTGAAAAATCAAAAGTTTTGATAGAATTAATTTCAGAGAAAGATCGAGATTTAAGATTATCCAGAAGTTCTTTAGAGTTTTTTAGAATCCACATATGGTTAATACCGCTACGCGAGTAAACAGTTTCACAGTATTTATGAAGTCCCTCTTTCACTGCAGACAGAATTTTTGTCAAAATAATGGACAATTCCTTTGTAGAACATGCAGATGAGCCGGCAATGTACCGTTGTTTGTACGGAATTTTGTGAAGCTTAGGTATCCAATACAAACAAGGTAAGTCCTCAGATTTGCTGTTCAATGTAATGTTCATTGAAGCCATGAAGGACTTATGATTCGCCAAAATCTCATCCTTGTCAAATGATATATTTTTGTATGTGGGATTACCAGAGTGCTCACTTATTTCTAATTGTTTTACAAGACACTCGTAGTAGTACGAGTTACATACAAAGGCAATATTTTTTTAAGCTTTGTCCGCAGGAACAACAACATATTTATCGTGAAAAGATGATAGACATTTCACAGCTTTTTTGTCTTTGAAAACGGACTTTGGTCGATAATTCACACAGTTTTTCAACTTATGAGTTCGACGTTTTATCATAGACCTGATTGATTGACCCATTCTGACAAACTACAAACACGTAACTCTTGGACACAATTCATTTGATCTTATAAAGAAGAAAATTGATGCTAAATAAAGGCAACAGTAGTATACCGCTGTTCGAAATTCATAAATCGATTGAGAAAAAAACAAATCCGGGTTACAAACTAAAACTGAGGGAAACACATTAAATATGAGAGGAGAATTACGACACAACAGAAACACAACATTAAATTGTAAGACACACAGAAACGAACTATAATATAACAATGGCCATTTTCCTGACTTGGTACAGGACATTTTAAGAAAAAAATGGTGGGTTGAACCTGGTTTTGTGGCTAGCCAAACCTCCCGCTTTTATGGCAATGTTAAATATAACATTAAGATGACAACATTACATGACAGGACTACAATACAAATAAATGGGAGAACATATAGGACAGAGAAACATACGAATAATAGCTAACAAAAGGTACCATGTTTAAAATTTAATACGCAAGACGCGCGTTTCGTCCACACAAGACTAACCAGTGACGCTCAGATCAAAAAAGTTCGAAAGCCAAAACAAGTACAAAGTTGAAGAGCATTGAGGACCAAAAGTTCCCAAAAGTTGTGCCAAATACGGCTAAGTTTATATGTCTGGGATAAGAAAATCCTTAGTATTTAGAATAATTCATACTTTTGCAAACAGTAAATTTATAAAAAAATGACTATATAATAGATATACATGATAACATCGAAGTGGTGACTAACTACAGAATAAAAACGGATACATAAAACAACATAAACAAGCACATAAAAATTCACAGCCGAGTTAGCCAAAGAGATCAACGCAAAACAAAGGTGACGTCACATTTGAATTTCTGAATTTCCCCAAAAGCTAAAATTTGCTTATCCCTATATTCCGTTACTCATTGATAACATCTGTTTTGTTTAAGGTGGTGTTTGGCTTTCCAACCTTTTGCTCTCTTGATTGTAGCTAATGATGGTTTCCCAGGAAGACGTAACTTTTGCTTGTACATGGAAATCAGAATCTGTCGTATATTATTACCCCCACGGGGTCGTTACGCTGTTGATGGACTTTCAGTCAACAAGGGTACCATCCTACCAGTAGCTAGTGCTTTGGTAATAGCAGCATAATTTAATGGATACATTTAACTATAAATGTCAATTCAATAAATTATGTAATTGTACTAAAGCTAAGGTTGCAACTGCACCGTCGCGTAACATTTGCATGTTTTTTTTTCCTGTTCGGCTAATTATTGCCTCTTTTGTTCCCTGGATATTTACGCATCTTTCAGCTGTTACAGTTGATTACATAGTTCAACTGTTCATGATTTGAACTAATTTTGCAAGTAATCACCATGATGCCTTACCTTTATTAACATCGATATAACAGTCTGACCATTTAAAGCCTGAAGTCATATTGTTCCTTGACGTATACGATACACCAAATAGATATGTGGAGGCGTTTGTAAAGGGTCCTGGTAAGGTTGAATAACTATGTTCATCTGTTGAGCTTATTTCTATCGCATGTGGAGTATCCTACAATAAAAATAAAAGTTAATAATTTCCTTCTTAGAAGTATTCATTGGTATAACGAACTTATTTCTTTTGCTACTTCCATCGATGTGTTTATTTCCAACTCGTTCACTATGATCGTGTCTGCAGTGACGTTCGAGATTCCAGTGAAAGAGGGACGAAAGATACCAGAGGGACAGTCAAACTCACAGATCGAAAACAAACTGACAACGCCATGGCCAAAAATAAAAAGACAAACAGACAAATAATAGTACAGATGAAACAACATAGAAAACTAAAGACTAAGCAACACGAACCCCACCAAAAACTGGGGGTGATCTCAGGTGCTCCGGAAGAGTAGGCAGATCATGCTTCACATGTGGCACCCGTCGTGTTGCTTATGTTATTACAAATCCGGTAAATAGTCTAATTCGGTAGGTCACATTCGTGAAATGGGAAGGGTATTGTAGTTACGACATAAGGAACATATCCGATATCATCCGTGAAACGGTTATTCCATAACGGTCAACCAACTCGTGATGGCGTCCGTAAAATTTACGAAGGGACGATTTCAACTTCACCATTTTGAACTCTTGGTTAAATAGCTTCCTTGTGAGCAGCACTCCTCTATCAAGGAAATCATGATAGGAAATACAAGCCCGGGAATATCGTATCAATTGGGAGATATATACTCCGTATGCAGGCGCTGCTGGAATGTATCTCCCTCATGCAAAGCTCTCATTCCGTGTCCAGATTTTACTATACTTTTGGATTTTTGTCTTTTATCAGCTCTTCAGTGCTGGTAATATGTTTTGATTTTCAATGTTTTGTTTCTAGAGCATGACTGAAAAGACTTTAATTGTCGAAATGCGCATCTGTTGCAATAAAGTTGGTACCGTTAATGTTGTTACTATGTATTGGTGGTTAATTATTACACCGTTAATGTTGTTACTATGTATTGGTGGTTAATTATTACATGGTTAATGTTGTTACTATGTATTGCTGGTTAATTATTACACCGTTAATGTTGTTGCTATATATTGCTGGTTAATTATTACATCGGTAATGTTGTTACTATGTATTGCTGGTTAATTATTACATGAATTCAACAGTAGTGCATCGATGTTCAAATCTCGAAAATCGATGTCGGGGGCTTTTATATCACAAATTGATTAATCACGACGGTGTATCATTTTAGTCTGGAGGAAGCATAACTTAACATGTACTGCTATCCAGATATAAAAACGTATGGTCCTACATCCTTCGATACTTACACTTTGGCATTGCTCAAGGTCATTCTTTTTTTGCAGGCAGCTTATGACGTCCTCACATTTAATCCGTTTCAGGTGTACTAATTGATATTTCAATTTGGGAGAACATGGTTTGTCCATTACTTTAAATTGGGCTTTGAACAAGCTTTCAGTAACTTCAAGTACTCTTAGATCGGTATTTTGTGTTCTTTGTCTTTACGTTAGTTCTAAGTGCCAATCTGATGTCTTAAGGCCAATCAAACTAATGTTTGTTCTTATGTTGTGCTGTTGTACCCCTATCCAGGTTAGGGTTAAGCTATCATCAACATGTCTAACCCACCCCAACCTTTATGTGTCTAAAAAAAAGACTGATCAAAGATCCAGGCTTATACTAGTTTTTACTCAAGTCAAGAACCTGTAATTGTCGAAGGTTGCTGTCTGTCATAATTGTTTATGTTGACTTTTAAGCATATACTAGGCAGTTGGTTTTCTATTTAGATTTGTGACATTTTGTCATAATTATCTTTATGGAATGGGTTTTATTCATTTTTGAAGGCCTTACGGTGACCTGCAGTTGTTTACCTCCTCGTCCTTTGGTGTCACGGTGATAGTTGGCTCAATGACAACCATACCACACCTCCTTATTTTTATATTAACATTGATATAAGTCTACATAACACAAAAACAACAGGGTGTTGAGGAATAAAGACAGAAATCGACACTGCACAAGTTTAACGGTCGCCATCACGAATGTGTTGAACAATACGATCTGTCTGTGTCTTAACAACTCACGAACTTTATGTTTTCCTGATCATAGATCTAAAAATACCGGAGATGTCGTCTGATCTCCAAATTGTGTCTTATTCCCTAACGTGACATTTTAACTGAGCTTTGATTTGCATGATGGGTGGTGCATGGAAATGCAAGAAATGCTTGCCGTGTCGACACACTGGGTCTTGTCCTGTTTGGGATTGATTCATGTTTTTAACTTGATTTTTATATGAAAATGGATTTACAAGTTTTCAACATCAGAATAGTAGTATTACATCTTTCTTATCGGACGCATCCGGTCTACTTCCTTTTTGAGTTAATGCGATTCCTACACTTTTCGTTTATTACCTTGATTTATCTTTTGAATCGAGTTATAAAATTTGAGCACCGGTAAACTAGTTTTCATTTTCCACAACACCTAAAGCAGATCGTGGATTCAAATGGATTGTTCGCCAGCACCTGACATCAATATTAATCTTTTATTTACTTTGCCAAATGTATATAGACTTAAACGTATCATATTGATATATATTTTGATAGTCTTAAGAGCTGTATAACCGTAAGATACATTAAACCTTGCATATATCCCAGAAAGCTTGTTCACACCAAAATAAATTGTACGATGAAGTATCTATTGTCCCTGTAGACGTCCAATACAACTTTATTTGCGATTCCATGTCTTTCACAGCAACTACTTCTTCAACAAGTTCAATATCTACAACAGATTAATTGTTCTATCTATGTAAAATTATAACGTTTGTTAAAATTACCTTGTTTTAATAAAAAAAAATAAAAAGATAAAAATTAACAAAAATTGTGGCTGATGCTGTCGAACAATTGAACTCATAACATCTTATAGATAACCAAAACTTTTAAAATGAAGAAGTCAATTCAAGAAGACAGGACAAAAAGTCAATAACCAATCTAGTATGCTTCGGACTAAGAAAAGTGCATTTTAGATTTAATCAAATACAGCTCAAACTATAAGAAAATGCATCTGGAATGTGTAGTATTGAGCTATATCAGGATAGTATACTTAACTTCTATTCATTAATCAACATTTATGTTTAAACTAGTTTACCTTTATACGGAGGTATTTGAACAGACTCCAAGGTTGAATTTCCAATTTCGTTGTATGAGTAAAGGAAAGCTTGATACTTTACAGTAGTATCGATGTTAAATGTAGAATAAAACTTTCCACTACTATGGAGTAAAGTTATCCCTTTTGTTGACATGAGATATATGCCATACTGGATTTTATCGCCATTCCACTTAGACTTTTCAATCCGCTGTAAAAAGTACAAAGGTGCAGTTATGATTGTAATACTTTTTGTTTTATTTAATGCCAAACATATAGATAATAATTTCTCTATACAAAGCAGTTAAGAATTATATGCAAGTTTTTTTTCAACTCTATAAAATATATCGTAACGACTAAATACAGTATCTGTAAATACTGTAGAAAATATCTTAAATCATTTACCTTCCAGAAGATCGTGACATCGGCTGATGAATTCTTAGATGGTTGTATCCAGGAATATCCTCCGATATCTGTACTTGGTGGACATTCCGGAACTAGTAATAAGACATATTATGTGAATATATTTAATATATCAACAAATAATCATATAAATGAACAAGTTATAATAATATCAGGAATCATGGGTATTTCATAAATTTCTTAAACGACTGAAATATCTTCCACTCTGCATTTAATAACATACTGTTATTGTTAAGAGCATAATTGATGGATTATGTTTTTTTATTACAAAGAAACAACTTGTCGGATCATTTATTTCGTCACCTTTTAATACAACTTTAATTTTTTTCTCCTGAAAATAAGAAAGACGCGAATTCATTATTAAATGCTCTTTCAGTGTATTTAGTAATACCTGTTTTGTTAGTTTTGACTGTAGTCCTAACTTTGTTACTCCAAATCCCCTTTCTATCAGGTTTACATGTTACCTGTATTTCGTATCTCGTGTATGGTTTTAGATGGCATATTTCTCTGCGGACTTCACCTTTTTCAGAGTAAAGTGTGAGTATCTGAAATATTCAGATGGTTTAATGATGTTACTATATGTACTAACTATATATTTATGGGGCAGCAATGTCATAAACATTAGCTCAGTCTATCTTTGCATCTGATGCAAAACTTTGACTATTTATCAAATTATTTGCATAGAAGCATATTCCTTGTTTTATTGTGAGAAGAACCACGCGACTTCAGTTTTCGCACATTTGGCAACAATCACTTTTTAAAAAGTTATATGTAATGGAAATATTTGATTAATGGATGTGGTGCGTTTCTTTCATTGTTTAGCATAGAATAACTTTGCACAACTTTTCGCCTAAAACAATTTCGGTGACATAAACTTTCTATTTATTTTTATACAATTATATAAAACTACATTCTTGCAAAGTAAAATAATTAATTCATATTTTCTAGAATAAAGAAATGTAGTATATTGCCAATGTGAAAATAATCAACAGAGTTCATATGGAGTAGTTTTAAGCAATTATGGGTCAACAACAAGTTGATATTTCCAAACAATGTTAAATCATCTCTTGTTAGCACATATTTACAACTTCTCGTCCAATCAAATTGCTTATATTTGCCTTCTAATTTTCATAGTACATACTTTTTCCATGTACTAAGTAACTACGCATGAATGACCACAAGGGTAAGATTTCATTGTATCGTAATCAAGATATTAAAACAAAAATTGCTACTGGCTATTTTGAAATAAATGCTGTGTTCCAAATTAAACTAAATAGTTTGTAATTAGTTTTCAAATTGATTTTTAAACATCCTACTATTTAATCTTTGGATCTAAAAATGTTTTTGACGATTAAAAGTTTCTTTTGTTTAAATAAAGAGTAACACATATGTTTTTTTTTATACCTTGATTAGAGTACAACGCCATCTGAAAATTGTAATCATTTATCTTCCATGCAATTACTTTGTACACAAAAAAGAGTGAACCATGAAACCTTGTGAAGGAAAATTACAGCAATTTGATATATTTCGTCATGAATTGATTGATTATTGGTTGCTTAATGTCCAGTGACAAATATTTCATGCATGTAAACTATCCACTAGACTACCTATGAGTACATACCAGGGCAGATCCAGTCATTTTTAAAAGGGTTCCAACCTAAGATAAAAGGGGGGTCCAACTGTATGTCCTCATTCAAAAGCATTGATCATCACAAAAAGGGCGTTTTCCATCCCCCTCCTGAACTCCCCCTCCCCCTTTTTGGATCCGCCAGTGCAAACTATCTATATGTGTAAAATTTATTATAGTTTTAGTTTTTAGGTGAAATTGAAAAAATGTTTTCAAGAATATAAAGCTTCAACTGCAATTTAATTATTGCCTGCTTTTGGTCAATTTATTTTGTCATCTTACCATGTGAAGAAGTACATGAATAGTAAAACACCGCTTTATGTCAAAAAACATACTTACACCAGCAGCTACCATCTTTTCATTCTGGATTCAATATTTTACAATGATGCTAGTGAGTAGATTTACAAAACTACGTACATGAGCTACACCTAGTCAGCCAAAACATATCAATAGACTAATTACAGGATTACTCAAGTTGTAAATATGTGCTAAATTGGATAGTGTATGGAAAGGTATATACTATGAAATTAAGAGCTCGGGGCAAGCCCCTCGCTCTAAATTTCATAGTATATACCTTTCCATACACTAACCGACACTTAAATTCAGAATATGCATGACAAATGTTGAGCTTGAACAACAATCAATCACTTTAGAATTCATACCCTAAATAAAAAAAATGATTCAGTTTTGTTCAAAGTGCTGATCAGCACTTAATATTTCTCCTCCAAAATCAAAAAGATGAAATTACTAGTATTCAAAATCAGTGGTATAACTATCTAATATTTGTCAATTAGTTAAATTCGGCAAATTAAAAAAGTTAATGGTCATCGGTTAAAGGTGTCTGATGTGTTAACAATAAAACACACGCCTCTAACGATAAATGAAATAAAACTTAGTATGTAATAGTATTGGTTTTTTTTTCAATTCTATCAGTCGAATCATAATTATTATTTGAGCGTTTTATATTAAAAAGGTATCAACAAAAATACTAAACTTCAAGGTAAATTATAAAAAAAGTCCATAAAACATGACAAAATCAAACGCTCGACTATATCAACCAACGGGACGAAATGAAAACAACTGTCATATTGCTGACTTGATACAGCCATTTTCGGAAGACAATGGTGGGTTAATCCTGGTTATATAGTTAGCTTAACTTCCCACTTGTATGACAGATGTGTATAGTATAGTTAAAATGGATGTAGGAGAAAGCAGTAGGTACCTTGGTTTTCAGTGCTCTCTCAGGCTTGTACATAACCTTAAAAGTCTTATTGTGCACATTATCTGAATGTTTCCATTCAAGTAACACGCATGACATATTTTTCGCCAATGCAAACAGGTCATTGACTGGATCCGGGTATACTACAAACAAAAGTAAGTATCATAATGCAAGTTATTTGTAGAAATAGAAAGTAGTAATCCTAAAAAAAGAATAAAAAAAAAATTAAAAAAACTAATATGATAATTATAATAATTGTCATTAAAACCACATTTTAAAAAAGGTAAACAAAGATAACGTTTCCGTAGTCTGTATAACCACACATTTGACCTCTGATCTTTAGGCCTTTATAATGAAGTTGGTTTTGATAAGATTACACCATATCAATAAAAAAAATCCAAATCTGACGTTTATCCGAATTCCAAGGTAAAATTTTCCCATTTGGAGAATTTGTGGTTGATGTTTAATATGCCATAGTCTCAGATACATTTCTTTACCACTTTGTTTTAGCCTCGTGGCGAATATGAGCTTGACAATCAATGTATTGACACTTGTTTGCTGTTGAAGATTGCATGCAGACGTCTTAATTCTTTTGTTTTGTTTTGTTGGGCTGCTGTATCTTTGACGTTTACATACATTTACTTTTATTCATATCCATAGATACAGAAGTAAAAATGCATTGCATTGTGGAGGACAAAACTATCTCTTTTGCATATTAACTTTAACATAAATCTAAAAGTGTGTGTCAGTTGAGAAGATGATAGCCTTGGAATCATAGAGATATAGACCTCTTTACAATATATAGACTTTATTCCTATTAAGGCAAAATATGTATAAATCCTACTTACCAGATTCATTCCATCTTACGAGGAAGAAATTGTGTAAGTTATTGTTAATACTGACGCTGATGTTATGTTTTCTCTCTATGTCAATATTATGGTCATTTATGCTCCATTCACATGATGTACTGTTGGTAAGTTTAGGGCAATAATACCACTTTGAAAATGGAACTAAAGGTTGCCTGAAAAGAATCAGAAAAATACAGATTCTATTCATAATATTTGAAAACATTTTCTGAAATAACCGTCATCTGGTGCTCTAATGGATAAAAAGATAGAACAGCAAATAAAACATGGAAATGTTGTGATAAAATATAATGTAAACGGTACAGCCACACCATTCATGTCAAATTTACAACACTCCTTAGTAATATCGAAAATCGAAACTTCATGTCGTAGGGAGAACATGTAAAACACATAATATATAAACTGATCAAATATAAGAAGATGACTATTTTATTCCAGTCCTGACAAAGATCAAAGTAAAGTTTACCTTAAAGAGTTTTAATCCAAGATTATAGAAATAAAACATGAATAGATTAATTTCTATTAAATCAAGTCTTTTTAATCATGTCAGTACCGAAACATAATGTATATGTCTATTTTTTCTTATTCTTTTTGTTTAAAAAGATGTATGATAACCTGTAAATGTTAACATCCACTTCCTGTGGCATCTGGTGGATAGTTGTGTCATTGGTTATCATACTACATCTCATTAGTTTTATATGTATCCATTTTCCATCAGTTTTAAACAATAATGGTTTCCAATTAGATTCACATTCTGTACAAGCATCAAAATGTGAAGGTAATTTATTAAAAGTCAGTTGAAATATACTCAAGTCCAGTTATTTCCGGAAAGACCAAACAAACATGGGAGTAAAAATAACCTGAATTTCATGAACACACAACGAAACCAAGAATAACTATAAACATAAAGTATTATTACCAATAAACCTTGACAGTCTTTATTTCAATACTTTCTGTAATATTCCATTTACATATAACATTCTCCCAGTTGTACACAACACAGGAAAAATCTTTAACGTAACTGACATTATTATCTGGAATAAAATTCAAAGAAATAAAACAGAATGGAATACACAGATGTAATATGTTATGAAAACTGTTTGGCTGTTTGACTGTTAGTCGAGAGTAAACCCACCTGGTGGTTTATAACATAACCCAAACGACATATGCTGATGTAGTTTTAGTTGTCATTTAAGAAATTATAAATAATTGTTTTATTGTACTGAATATACATTGCATAAGGCACAGCTGACCTGAACATGTCTTGACTATATTATTGAAACCCTTTTCGTTCTGGTGCCTTTACCTTTGACTTCTAGCGTACTCAACGAAGATAAGACGGAAGTAGCATGCACATTCATCTTTACATGTTATCTATCCTTTCAGTTCTAAATCGCTGATTACTTTTGAGACGTCCGATTGCAGACGGCAGTGTTTGTATGTGTTACGAAACAATTGGGAAACTTTCTATTGTTGTTGTCATTATCATTATCATTTTCAAACTCATAAACTAATAGATTGCAGTTGTCATCAGGGATTTTTATATATGCGTGAGTGTGTGTTAAAGCGTTTTCATTTGGTACCAAAATAAATATTTTAAGATGATATGGAACTATACCTTGAATGTGAGTGAAAACCAACACTAACACACCAAGTACAACAACTGAGTGATACCATGACCACTTTATCATAGTATTTTCAGTATCTGCAAAAAGAAAAAATTAAATGTTAATCAAAGCATTTAAAATGCCTGCAAACGAAAGAAGATAAGTAAGTAGTAACGTCAATTAGATAGTAACGCAATAACACATGATTTCAAACAAACAAAAATAACGTCCAGTTGTCATACAAAGAACAAGTAAAAGTATGTTTCTTTTAAAAAAAAAATCAAAACATGAGGTTTTTTTTAGAGTCATTGTGTTTATTACGTTTTAAGCATGCAAAATGATGGCATTATTTATAATTTTGTTATCCATTTGGTTTGTTTCGTTTTGTGGTTTTATCTGTAAAATGGTTATTAAAAAATAAAATGTTGGCATAAAAAATCAAAATGTTGAATATGGCTACTATTTTTTGTATAACGGCTTTATAATACCATTTCCTAATTTCCACAGAGAATTGTCAAACTAATTTCACAATTAGTCAATCAAACATGTATAAATTTAATTATGCTAAGTAAACACTATAAATGTATTGTGAATGTGATGTGATCTAGGTATTTAATTTATTATATTGATTTAGATTTCCCTTTTGTTTTTTTTTTTACTATGTAAATCTTAAGTTAACGAATCTCTTTTGAATTAAACGTTAAATTTACTGAAATTTTTACTGCTCTAACTGAAATTTTACTGAACTTTAACTGAAATTTTACTGAAATTATTTGTTACTGTATTTTTACTGAATTTTTAAGTAACATTTACCGTAGTGGCGTTTTTAAGCGAACTAAACTGTAATTATAATTCTTTTGTTTTCATTGTTGATTTATATTAGTAAGTTCGACATTATTATTTTAAAGCGTTCATGAATAGATATTTTATAATTTTATGTACATATCTAATGAGTTTTAAATCATGTAATACATGACTATGCTTTTTTGTAAAAAAAAAAAATTCCCTTTAGTATATATATATAACTGTTATAGCTTTTATTTGTATATACAGTGTCTCATAAGTCTTTTAAGGCTGGGTATTGATCCCTTTTTTATGATGTTGTTTTGTAATTTTATTGTAGATCAATATGTGACACTTGAATAAAGTATTATTTATCTTATCTTATCTTATCTTTAATTCCAAACTAAGCCTGTGACATTTCATTATACTTCTTCAGATTACGAAATCACTGGCTTTACCAACAAATGTATGATTACGTTTCTTTATTTATCTGCAATTGCCGTAGTCATATTTTGGGTTTTTTTCTTCGCAAAAATCAGATAGATAGACTTGGAAGTTTGCACATTGCATTTCTGTTTAATATTCGCTATTGATTATTACCAGAAATCTCATAATTAACTGCGGTAGAAAATAATGATGACAATTTCATGAATTTTTTGTCGATCATTTAAATCATTATTAATTTTCTGACTTTTTATATGATGCTGTGCTTTTTCGGAAAATCTTAAAGGTATATTAGATAATCATAAAATAAAGTTATACAAAATCATATAAAATAATATATATAAAATAAAAGAACAAAGTTCCAATGTCCCCCGCGTTGCACATATTCTATAATTCCAAGGGGCATAACTCTTTTTAAAAAAGTCGACCGTCCACCATTATAGAACTAGTCCGAGATATTGCTGATATTAACCTATAGTATAAGTTTTGTAAAAATCTGGCAAGAATTGTATCCGTGAGAGCAATAACGAGGCCATTTTCCATAAATTTAATATTTCCAAGGAGTATAACTCTTTTCAAAAAAGTCGATCGTCCACCATTATAGAACTTGTCCGAGATATTGCTGATATTAACCTATAGTATAAGTTTTATAAAAATTTGGCAAGAATTGTACCCGTGAGAGCGCTAACGAGGCCATTTGCCATAGATTTAATACTTCCAAGGGGCATAACTCTTTTAAAAAAGTCGATCGTCCACCATTTTAGAACTTGTCCGAGATATTGCTGATATTAAACTATAGTAACGCAATATTATTTGAAGCCTTGTCCGCAGGAATAACAACATATTTATCGTCGGGAGATGATAGACATTTCACGGTTTCTTTGTCTCTGAAAATGGACTTAGGTCGATCATTCACACATTTTTTCAACTTATGAATTCGACGTTATACCAGAGACCTGATTGTTTTGACCAATTCTGGTAAAGTGTTCAGTTCAACTTCTTCTCGTTTAGCCCATGCTCTGGCGTAGTCCTCAATGGAATCCATAATTATTTTGAAATTATGGTTCCAATTGATGTGTTGGGGTTCTCTGAATTTAGGACCCTGAGATATCACCTTTCGGAGATGTTCATGTTGAATTATGTTTAGATCCCCAGTAATAACATGGCCAGAGTGGCTTGAGAACAACAAAAAGTTATCAGGCATATTACATGAATTAAAGTTTAAAGTACATGACATATAAAAAGACTTTAGTCACAAATGATCCAGTGTCTACGTTTGACAACATAGGTTATACTTGATCTTATATATTGCATCATCAGTATACCGTACATTATCATAATATGAAAGGCATATTTAGACAAAAGGTATTAGATGCTTTCCATCAAACTTGGTATTGTAACATGGGAAAATCTACCAGAGGTTAACTTTTCTTTATTTTTTATTCTAACCTTTAATTTAATGTATCGAAGTATTTTTTTGTTCTTTTAAATGGTCATTTGGTGTATTCAGACCGACAAGGATTAAGCAATAGGCTTGATTTGTCATATCGAACAAAGGGCTGTTTTCATTGGTTTCATTGTGAACAATATCCACGAAAGTATGAACAAAAAGTACAACCACTTCTTTTGAAAAATTGGTACGAGAGCGAAAATGACCTTTATAACAATATTAAACTGTCACTGTTTTGTTTTTGTCGGACGGAGCAATGTGTGTCAACCAAATCTGCAATGTCATATTTTGTACTTTTGTTAAAAAAAATCGGTGCTGCGTGTCTTCAGTTGAATGATTCGATAGTTTATGAAGTAGTTTTTGTTGCCAAAGTTAAGTTTTCTCATATGTTTACTTTGTGACATATGCTTGACAATTTATCCATCCTAACTTGATATTAAGAACACTACCGAAACTAGGTCATTTACCTCTTATATGGTCATCGGATTTTTTTTCTTTTTAAATTGAAACATCGATAAGCTACTGTCGCCTCTCATTTTTACTGGGAAATGCAATGTGGAAACAATTGTATATAATAAAAAGAATGACAGGCCATATAGGAAGATTTGGTGACATGCAAAGAGGTAGGGCCAATTTCCTCTGAATTTATTTTAAACCAGGGTCATTTTAAAATAGTATTTTAATCCTTACTTCAATTCATAGTATTACAGACCAATGTGTGTAGTTTAAGGTTCTAACAATATTATAGCTTATTTCTAAACAGATTACCAAATTATAAAAGACTGAAGATAACCCAAAACCGCAAATTTGACATATTTCGGCAATTTGTTAGTATTTATCTCAAAAATGTATAGGTATGACATTGTTTATCGAAACCAAAACTATGCTGGAAGTAAAGCTATATATTGCCTTTCGGGTACAAATTAATTCATTTTGGTTAGCAACTTACTTCGAAGTAGAATTTGACAAAAACATGTAAAATTGAATTTTGAATCAAAATGCATTCTACAACAAAATTAAGCGCTGAATAGCATTTTGATTTTATGGAACTAATGTAAAATTCTGAAACTATATTTCAAATAAAGATAGATACGCTCAATTTTCAATTTCCAGTAGGATTTGACAACTTTTAGATTTTGACCAAGAGAGTTAAACAAATAAGGTGAAATAAGCCCTACCTCTTGGATAGAAGACCAATGTTTTGACAACATTTAAAAACAATAAGTGTTCCTTTGTGTATACATCTTGATACTTGTTTGTGCTGTCAATTTGCACAGTTTACACATATATAACCGATTTTATACATTTTTTTAAATTATGTTTGTGAGCGCGGAACTTTCACCTAACATAGGAGAGTTTTGTTACAACATAACATCTGACCAATCTACATAAATCAATTGGAAAAGGTTTGACTCCTCAGTTCCGTACTAAGAACAAAAAAAAACACACGATAAAGACCCTAGACTGTATTGTCTTTCTTCTAAACACTATGGTTGCAACTCTCTTAGTGCGAAGTAGACCAAAAACTGTTAAAGCTCGTTCTACTTAACACCATTGGCATCAGCTCTCCCAGAGTAAAGTAGTCCCTAGACTGTTTTAGTTCTTTCTTTTCAAAAACATGGTTCCAACTCCCCTGGCATAAAGTAGTCCCTAGACTGTTTTGGTTCTTTCTACTTAACACTATAGTTGCAACTCCCTGGCGTAAACTAGTCCCTAGACTATTTTGGCTCTTTCTTTTAAGCTCCATGGTTGCAACTCCCCCGTCGCAAAGTAGACACCAGACAGTTTTGGCTTCTTTTTTTTTTCTTAACACCATGGTTGCAACCCTCCGGTATAAAGAAGACCCTATACTATTTTGGCTCTTTCTTCTTAAGACCATGGTTTCAACTCCCCGTCGTAAAACAGACCGTAGGCTGTTTTGGGTATTTCTTTTTAAACACTATGGCTACAACTCATTGGTACATAGTAAACATTATACTGACGTTTGGCTATTATGTTTTGTTTCTTTTTAACTTTAATGCAGCCCATGCGTTATGCATTGAGATTTCCTTACCTCCTGTCTCAAGCATAATTCAAGGGACTACTGTCTACTGTGCTCTGAAATCGGTATTATACGCTTGTATTTAAAATTCATCGAATCTTAACCTCATCTATAATATAAATCTTTACAACGAATCCCATTTGCCAATCATGTTCAATCTCAGATTATACCGTCACAAATGTGTTAAAGAAATGCAGGAGTGTTGTTTGTCTGGCAACCATTTCATGTATATCGAAGACGAAGTGAGAAAACATTACAATCATATGTGATGAGCAATAATCACACTGGAATTAATTTATCTAAAGCAGCAATTTTATGGCAGTGTATTAAAAAAATAATCTATTTGCACCTATTTTGTTTTGCGTTTTATCTTTCTTAAAATATTGTAAATATTTTTCAGGAAAATTCTTTATACATACAGGATAAGCTACAATGTTTTACAATAACTAAAACACTGAAAACCGCCAACGGTAAGTATTCTGGTAAAAAAATGTCTTTTTGTTTAGTTCTTAAAAATTAACATTATTACAAACTGCTTCGAATTTTGTAAACTCGCATAATTATACCAAAAAATACATTGCAATGATTCTTATCTTATCAAGTATATTAATATGATCTGTAACGGTAAAAACAGGAATATCGTTTTATTTTCATTGACTTTTTACATTTTGAAAAGAATTTAAATCTATTAGAATTACAATGAAATATTTCCAAACCGGGTTCAAATAAACAGATTTATTTTGTCGAGTTTTTCTTTAATAGGTTTTGTACCTACGTTTCTCTACATTTTAATTAAAATGCCTTTCGAAAAAATTTCAGTATGCATCAATGAGTTTGATTTAAAAATATTTATATGTTGATAACATGTGTAAACCAATTCGCTGATTAAAAATATCCTTTGAAAATTCTTTGTATAAACGGAAGAGTGTTTTACCATCTGACTAGGAATAAAAATACCTAATGCCGAAGTAAGTTAAAACAAATAAAGGACAAAAACCTTTATAAAATGTTTTCATTTAAAATAATTTAAATCATGGTCAAAAGTAAAACAAAACATAAAAAATGAAAACCTGAACTTACCCTTTCGAGGTTTAATAAATGTCAATACTATGTCCTGTTATGATTTGCTGTTTTAAACGATTATATGCACGTGGTTATCACACATGGGAATGTCAAAACAGCGTAAATTTCGTAACAAATAAGGTAAAATGTAAATCAACTTTTCTTCTGTAATACAGCGTATCAAATCAGTCAGGTGAAGACAAATTAATAGTTTTAAGTACGGTATTGATATTATGCTTAATTAATGTTCAATAACCATGAAAATCGTTTTAGAAAGGTAAATATTTATTCACTTCGACAATTATTTCATTGATAATAAAAAAAAAATTAGAATATAAAAATAAGTTCAAATAATAAATATAAAGTTTCAAAACATCAATCAGATTCCCCGTAAAGAAAAAATATCATAAAATCAAATGTATTTCAAACTGTAACTAATTTGCATATTCGCATGTTGAATCTATTTAGTTTAAAACAACATTTCAGTTTGGTTTAAAATATACCCTTTTCATGGGTTATACAGTCACAAAATGACAACAGATTAGTTAAGATAATAAAATTAAGAAAGTGTGTAGTATTTGACTCTCACATACTTAGAAATAATAACAAGGAGCACAACCATCCCAAACAGAAAAAGGGTTGACTTAGGAAAAAATATAGTCATCCCTGGTCGTCTCCTTTTCCGGCAGTAAAACCCTTGCGGAAATGTGGCGTATGTTGGCTGTTCGGGATGTATAAATTTCGAAGTCATGTCCGGTCGGAATGGGGACGTCAAATCCTATGCCTCGTTTTTCTATTATGGCACAAAAACCTGTTTTGGTCGAAGCTTGTGCTTTTTGTTAATTTATATGTAGCCAAAATGTTCTTTGAGATAGGGAAAACTTCTCTTGTGATAGTACTTTAATGAAACAGTCAATTTGTGTCATCAATAGATATAAGAAGATGTGGTATGAGTGCCAATGAGACAACTCTCCATTCAAGTCAAAATTTATAAAAGAAAACCATTATAGGTCAAAGTACGGTCTTCAACACGGAGCCTTGGCTCACACCGAACAGCAAGCTATAAAGGGCCCCAAAAATTAGTAGTGTGAAACCATTCAAACGGGAAAACTAACGGTCTAATCTATATAAAAAACGAGAAACGAGAAACACTTATGAACCACATCAACAAACGACAAGTACTGAACATCAGATTCCTGACTTAGGACAGGTGCAAACAATTGCAGCGGGTTTAAACGTTTTAATGGTACCAAACCTTCACCCTTATCTGAAACAATAGTGTAACATCACAACATAGAAAGACACACTATAAAATATCAATTGAAATGGCTTAACTCAATCACAAGACATATTAACACCAGTGAACATACACTGAACAAATAAATTTAATCTATGATACATTGTTAATACAAAATAAATAAACTAAGGGAAGAATAAAAAAAGTAATATGGTATACCGCTGTGAAATGTTAAACAGTTTAAGAAAAACAATATGATTGACAAAAATATCAGCCATTTGCAATTATTTAAACACAGGTAAATGAAAATAATTTTGTTGTTAGGTATACGTGTACAATAATATATAATGCCAATATTATATGTACATTTTCTGCAATCCTTTCTTCTTGAAGTTTAAAAAATGTCTTGGGTTCAGACAATTTTTTCCATTTTCAATTTTTCTTACAGATCCTTTTTAAAGCAAAGACATACTTTCTTCTTTAGAGCTGAAGTAACACCCTACGGCTTGTTTTGGTAAACGCTTAGAAGTAACATGACATAGAATTTAAATGTTTGAACCTTTTCAAGGCCGTCCTTGTTTAGCTAAATCATAACTTATATCAAGTACGGTTAGCAAACTGCAGACTATAAAGTGTATGAAAAGAGATGCGGTGCGTAATTAAATGAATCAACAGTCCAACATCACAACAAAACCGTCTTAAACAACAAACATAAGTCTATTCCTAGACACGTTGTGATACACTTTATCGAAAACTACCACTGATCTGCTATCAACACAACATTCTTAAGGACAGTTTGGTAGTATATTTATAAAATAACAGTGCATTAGTAAATTGTTAAAGCTGCTGCACCCGCCGTCGGGAACGTTATCCCTCGGATTTCAAATATTTGGCTTTGAGCGTTCCTGATGAAGGTAAATCCAGAAAAGCGCTTCGAACGCATGAAATTATTAAACGTGTTGTTTTCAATTTTTTACATCACTGGGTCGATACCTCTGCTGGTGGACTATCAGTCCCCGAGGGTATCATCAGCTCAGTAGTCAGTACTTCGGTCCTGACATGATTTATAACAAACTTTTCTAAAATTGTCCGTTTATAAATTTTGAAATTATAAAGAAACTAAGGTTTCAACTCCCTCAGGCAAAGTTGACCTTAGATGGATTTGGCTATTTGTTTTAGGTATTTTTGTCATATAGCTCTTCAACTGTTTCGGTACTTATACATCCCTCGGATTTCATATATTTGGCTTTGAGCGTTCCTGATGAAGGTAAATCCAGAAAAGCGCTTCGGGCGCATGAAATTATTAAACGTGTTGTTTTCAATTTTTTACATCACTGGGTCGATACCTCTGCTGGTGGACTATCAGTCCCCGAGGGTATCATCAGCTCAGTAGTCAGTACTTCGGTACTGACATGATTTATAACAAACTTTTCTAAAATTGTCCGTTTATAAATTTTGAAATTATAAAGAAACTAAGGTTTCAACTCCCTCAAGCAAAGTTGACCTTAGATGGATTTGGCTATTTGTTTTAGGTATTTTTGTCATATAGCTCTTCAACTGTTCGGTACTTATACATCCCTCGGATTTCAAATATTTGGCTTTAAGCGTTCCTGATGAAGGTAAATCCAGAAAAGCGCTTCGGACGCATGAAATTATTAAACGTGTTGTTTTCAATTTTTTATAAACGCGACTTTCTTAGCAATAGAAAAAAGATAAACCATGCAATTAAAATATTTAATGAACCTGTTTCTTTCCCACGAAATGTTTTGCCATTTCACTTCTAAGTTTGCAATCTGATCTGCATGCTATGAAATCAGCGTGTTGACAGATTGAAGTTGATTGCTAGTTATTTGCGATTGGCTACTGCTGATTGAAGAAAATTCTGAATTTCTGTAGGGGACCCATACAGCGATCAAGCATAAAAGGTTAGCAAAGTGCAAGCACAGTGACAAAGCATAAGACATGATCCAATTCAGAGATCTTATTTTAGTTAGATTGGCCATAATGCAACGCCTTGACTTCTCCAAATAACAAAAACATTAAGATTTGACATAAGACAACCAATGAGGAGTTTCCTGACTTGGAACAGGCACATAAATATGTATTTTTTTTTATTATTTCAACCACAAGCACAAACAAAACAATAATATTTATGATAGTCCAGAATATTTGAAAGATCAACTGAAACAAATTAATTATGAGGCAGCACGTATAGTTACTGGGGCTACTAAGTTGACAATATAAAAATATGGAGATGTGGTATGATTGCCAATGAGACAACTATCCACCAAAGTTCAAATGAAGTGGATGTAGGCAATTATAGGCATCCGTACGGCCTTCAACAATGAGAAAACCCATACCGTATGGTCGGCTATAAAAGGCCCCGACATGAAAAATATGAAACAATTCAATTGAGAAAACTAACGGCCTAATTTAAAGTCTACAAAAGAGACCGGGTGGGAAACTCTCAGGAAAAGGCGAATAAAAAATACAAGTTTATTTTGTTTCATTAGATGGTCTACCTAAATTACTTAATGCTGTCTTAAATGAAAGACTTAATAAAAAAAAATGGAAGATGTTATCAGTAAAAGTCGGTTTGGTTTTCGTAAGAATCATAGGACTTCTGACAGCATCTTTGTGCTGTAGTCACTAATAAATAAATATTTACATAAGAATAAAAAGAAAATATAGGTTGTATAATTTATACAGAAAGGCTTTTTTCCATACAGAGTCAAATGCCTTCCTAACGTCTATATAGATTTGATAAATGTTTCTGGATACACATTTTTAGGTATTCTAATTAAATATAATGGTAATCTTAATCATGGCCCAGAAGAACTAGTAGAAAAGGCCCAAAAAGTAATGTTTACTATTAAATCTTATACTAGTTCCTTAAATAATAAACCTGTTAAAGTAGCGTGTAGTTTGTTTAACACTATGGTGGAACCAATTGCTACCTACAATTCCGAGGTTACTTTTATGAATTAGGCAGCTATCCTTTAGAATTGAAAATAAAGGTCCAAAGTTTATTATTTTTGACAAAACTTTTAACTAATTGTACGAATCCCTTATTGCATGAGGCATTCATACTATCAAAGAATCTTGACTCATGGTTAACTAATGTAAAAAGTATTGCAAAGGAAGCACATGTTAATTTTAAGCATATTGAGGAATGTAAAAATACAAACCAAATAAAAGCACTAAAAACTGAAATAAAAGTAAGACTCCTTAATTATAATGAAAAACTAAATAAATAGAAATTTGAGAAAATGGATAATAGTAGTAAAGTTTTTTTTTTTATATAAAACTCTTAAACAAAATGATAACATAGAACCATTTTTGAATTCTAATATATATTTGAAAATAGACGTAATATCACCAAGTTTAGATTAAGTGGTCATAATTTACTTATTAAAAAAGGGAGACACCTAAAAGTTCCCAGGGAAAACCGGTTGTGCGAGTCCTGCAATATAATTGAGGATGAGAAACATTTTCTTTTGTATTGCAGGAAAAAGTCAACCATTAGACCAGCTTTTATTAAAAAATTGATTGAGGCAAATTGTATTACCAATTTCAATGTCCTAAATGATGATGTTTAAATGAAATTTATTCTCTGCTCATCAACACAAAGACAGATAGAAAGCATAGGTTCCCTTTTTTTGCCAATCGCATCCGTATAGGACACATACCGCAGGAAACTTGCCTCGTAAGAACGGATTATTATCATAACAGTTTGCTTCCTTCTACTGTCTGTCTTTTGAACGAGCTTCTAATTCATCTTAGAAATTCTTCCTTATATATTTTTTAAAAATCCTTGAAGAAAACTCATCTAGTTCCTAAATATTTTTACAGTGGTAGTAGACTAGGACAAATTTTGCATGCTAAAGTCAGAACTGAGTGCAGTGGTTTGAATGGACATTT